TGATAATATACATGAAAAAATTACTCGATTCTGATTGGCTGAGAGCAGTGCAGTTCAAGTGTAACACCAGTGCAAAAAGTGTAACACCGGTGCAAAAAGCGTAACACCAGTGCAAATTACACATCGTAATTCTGGATTATGATTGGCTGAAAGACAATAGGAAATTTTCGAAGTCAATGATATTAGGTAAAATGATGACGAAAATTTGAAAAAAGTTTTCTCGAATGAGAAAAAATGGCTTCAAGAAAGGTCTTCGGCACTGCCTTGCGCCTCCAAATTTTTTCATGTTTATATTATTAATACTTATTAATAATATAAACATGTGAGTTTTTCAAAATGCTGAAATTGCACTTGCCGAAGCGGCTCGTGCAATTTCAGGTTTTTGAAAACCTCACTTGGGCAAATTAATTCCAAATTGAACGAGAAAAACCGTATGATTACCTATACTAATTCTATCCAACAACTTTCCCTTGTCGAGTAATATAAACTAAGGACTTTAAGGTTCCAGCGAACTTCTGGAATTTCAAATTAGTCAGTCAAAGGTTTTTGAGACACAAGTTAATTTTGCGTCAGTTAACAGCGCATTTCACAAAACTTTTGACAAACCGAAGTTTTTGGTTTACGAAGTTCGCTTGAAATTTCAGGGCGCTTAGAACGTGGTTGTCAATAAACGAACTTGAAGTTGTGAATTTCATTGCGAATTTCGTTCAGAACTTGCGAAGCTTCGACGCAGTGGAAGCTCGAGGCAATTATGAAAACTTTTAAAGGGTCAACTCAGTCCGTGAAGTTCATACAAACACGACTCTGTAAATTTCAAGCTTACTGATTTAATACAAACTGCAACTGAGAAGTTGTGTTTATTATTCCAGGCGATGTTTGCCTTACATATAATTTTGAAAACCTCGGCAAGAGAAAGAAAAAAACTGATATATATACTGTCCGGTTCCTTCATTCGGCGTGGTATCATGTACATGAAATGATGTAGGTGGTCGTTACATGAATCAGAAGCGTAGCGAAATGCCTAATTTCTGTACCTTTGCAAACTTGCTTCCTCCACTTTCTATCTGTTGCAATCGATTTTACGCATTTTAAAAGCATTTTGTAGTTTTAAACCCTTTAAAATGTTTACCTATTGCCGTAAATCCTCGAATAAGCGCCCGGGGCGGCAGGTTTCTTTTGCAGGTCACAGGCCACAGGTCACAATCAAAAAGCACTCAGTAAAACTCGCGACGTAAGAATTACTCGAGATTCCCAAGAGGTTAATCGTTGTTTCCATGCAACAAACCTCAACTAAAAATGTTTTACTGTCAGGAGCGATTATGGCTCCTGTTACTGTATAATTTTAATAAAAAAATTTCTAGGGGTGGTATATGTACAAAATGAGTTGAAATGTAGCTTTCAGACATGTAGTGTTTCATATATTTTATCGCAATAAGATAATTCGACATGATAGCAAATTGAACTGTTTCATTTCTATCTTTTGAAATCTTTACAACAATTATGTTCTAAACAGAAACAAGAGGGTCCCCTATACCTCTTCTGAAAACAATTTCATGCATAAGTAATTGACCTTTTCACGCATCACGAAAAATTCGAAAAACAGCTTCATGTTCACAGAAAAAAGCAAACAATCACGTTTCACGTAAAAATGCGAAGGCTAAATCATGTGTCACACGAAAATACAAATTCTATCCACGTTTCGCAAAACATACAGAACCCTCCATTTTGATGCATCAAACTGCTGTGTGTCACACTGTGGTTAGTTCTCAGTCCTCCAGCCGCAAGCGCGTCGAATGGGCAGGTTTTACATCTAGTTTGGTGTAGTTTACGAGCTGTAATGACGCTGAAATCTCCCGTGAACAATTATTCCCGCAAAAGTCGTTGGTTCACAAATCACGCGTAATTAAATGCATAATTCACAGATCAGTGTAAGCCTCTTTCGTTCTCCTATTGTATTGAAAGGCTACAAAGAATTTGTGTTTTCAACAGAAATAAGTCTTGGCTTTCTTTCTCTGGATTATTTCTTTTTTATTTCAGTACTACAGCTGATTTTCCTCATGCGTTTTTTTTTCAGAAAATAACTGTTATAGTAACACTTGGGACGCACTTCTATGCATCTGTTTTATGACGTTTCGGTATATTTTTTGGTGACCTGTGACCTGTGAACTGTGACCTGCAAAAGAAATCTGCCGCGCCCGGGGCGCTTATTTCAAATTTAGGAGAAGATGGGGAGAGCTTATTT